ACACACACACACACACACACACACACACACACACACACACACACACAAGCTTTATTGCGGAAAAATAGCCTCCAGCTGTGCCACTTAACAAAAGAGCATCTATAGATAATTTAACATGTTTGTACAACATGCTGGGTCTCACACCTCTTCATGGCACATTATGATCAGGATATCTGGAGCAGCTGGTATCCTTTTAAGCCAAATGATGGAAGGATGATGCAACGGGACCTTCTTACCTTTTCCCAAGATGTGAGGAAACTCAGGAGTGAAAGTGGGGATCACTAGACCTCCCATTCCTGTCTCTGTCGCCAGTGGGTTTAGTACTCCTGTTAGTCAGGTTTGAGGGGTGTGCTACCTGTTGCGTCAACTTCACGAAACCGGGAGGGAGAGAGATGCCGAGAATTCTAAAGCTGAGGATACAGCAAGAAAACTCAAATGAATGCAGATCGACGAAAGGGAAAGCGCGCTAAAGTGCGGATGGAGGTCCAGCTTCATTACTTACCACACTGGAAGAACAACAGCGCAAGGACATTCAGAAGTTTGCTATGCTCTCTTTTACGTAGGTCCTGAAATAGGCCACTTAAAATAAAAAACCGACCCTGGACTTCATTTCCTAGGGTTAGTATTCTCACTGAAAACCTTTTTATTTCCTGTTTGGACATTTGTTTAAACAAATCTGGTAAGAGTGGAAATTCTAGGTGGGCAGGGATGTGTCTGCTTATTCTTCCTGTGTCCTGTACAGGAAACACAGACTCTCAATACTGCCGCTTGTTGGCTGAGTGGATAGGGGTCTGTATATTCGCTGTTTTCTCCAGGCAATTTCTTCCTTTGGGCTAATCTTCCATGTTTCTGTTCATAAACCTCTGAAAGCTACAGAGCACATGGTGGTAAGAGAGAACTCATAATACGTTTTTACAAAACCCTGAACACACGTCTATTCTCTCTGCTCCCGGCCTCACCTCCCTGAACAGCTTTTCCACATCTCTGTGGCTCTCTCATTTGTACATGGACAGACTCCACTCATACATGGGGTGCCTTACCCGCAGCTTCTCTTGCTACTGTCCCTTCACCTTGCTCAAGGGCAGGGGCTCTGCAACATACTTCATGAAGCTCTTTTTCCACTAAGAAACAAACTTGTTCTCCTCTGTGCTGACACCAAAACCATATCCAGCCATGTTCTGCTATTATTTATACTCTAGAAGATCACTCAGGAACTGGGGCATGTTAAGGGTCTTGTCCAAAGCGTTTGCTAAAACTGTTGGCTCCCCCGAACTAAGATACCTGTTAGGATCAGCAGCTGTAGGGTACCAGTTAGGGCTACACCTAAAGGGACTGAGTTTGGCAAGGTGAAAACTTGTGAGGGTGTTTTAAACTGCATTTCCAATTATTCTGTGGCCTGGAAATTGAGAGGTTATTTTAATTTCATGAGAGAAAATCACTTTCCATGTTCCTTTGGCTGAAGCTCCGCAACCACTTTTTTATCTGGGAAATTTCTGTGATCCAAGCCTCTAACTTGTGAAAAACTTGAACCAGAAGAATCAACATTTAGTGAAAATCTCGGAAGAAAGTGCACATTAGAATTTCAAACTAGGACAGCACTTCTCACTTTCCCAAGGCCAATGGAGATGATTTAAGAGTTCATAAAGATGAACTTATTTTCTGTCAGGTCTGCAGGAGAATGTTGGTTGAGAACTTTAGCAAGCTCAGGAGAACTGGTATCATTTTATTGTGATCTCTTGCCCCAATGTGGGCAGAATCTGACATTATTACAGGGTTATATTTTGGGTCTTTGGGGGCATTGGAATTCTAAAGTGGAGAGTGGACAGGATGTGGCAAATGGAATAAGGATTGTGTCAAATTCTCAGAAATCAATGAATCGCAATCTCTGTGAGGAAAAGGGACCTTTTTTGGGGGGGGGATGAAGGACTTACCCCTCCTTCACGCCTGCCACACACTTTGGATTGTTCATGAATTCTCTGACCCCACTGTCTCTCATTTTCCCTGTGTCAGGTGGCAATGCTGATTTGTGCTGGCTTCCTGATTGCCTGGATTCCCTATGCAGTGGTCTCTGTGTGGTCTGCTTTTGGAAGGCCGGACTCCATTCCCATACAGCTCTCCGTGGTGCCCACCCTCCTTGCCAAATCTGCAGCGATGTACAATCCGATCATCTACCAGGTCATCGATTACAGATTTGCCTGCTGCCAGACCGGTGGTTTGAGAGCAACGAAGAAGAAGTCTTTGAAAGACTTTAGGTAACATTTAGAAGCTGGAAATGAATTATATTATCTTTGTCTTAAAAAGCTGTGGCAGTTTAAGCTGACACTTGGGTTGGAGCTGAGTTCCCGAGGAGCTGGATTAGGAGGATTTTGTTTTCTGTTCATCAAAATTTCTGAACCCAAGTCATCAGATGCGTATGGGCTGGGTGGCAGACAGGTGTCAAGAGGCATTCTAGTTTTTGATCCTGTGCATTTTGGAGTAATCACTGCATCAATGATTGTGAACTTCCTTTGGAGGGGATTAAATCCATATCAGTCCAGGAGCATTCTATGTGACATTGATCCAACCATAAATACCTGTGAAAGATTACTGGCCACTGTTGTTTGGGGGCATCAGCCCTCTTAGCTAAAATCAAAGGCCTGAGGCAGAAGTGTGGGAGAAGCTTGATAGATAACCCATTCCCCTCTCTTTGTTTTCTCCGCCAGGTTCTTTTGGGTATGTTCTATTCTTTCTCTGTGTCACATGAAGAAATGGGTTCAAGTAAGGTTAAGGCTTGGAAGCCATTCGCTTTTACATAGGCAGCAGGGTAGGGATTGTCACTTAAATATTGGTCTTTTTCATCTATGTTGTTTCTGCTGCACAGAGTACAAGAGACCTTCAAAATCCACAACTACCTTCCCTAAAGGTCCAATATTGAGTGAGTAAAGAGCTAGGATTGTGGGGGAGGGGTGGTCTCCTGTGTCTATGCAGAGCCTGTCTTTGAGTAAAAAGTGGAAAATGCATATCAAGTCTAGACTGAGGAAGTAGGGAAGATTCCAGAGTCTCTGATCCTCTTGAGTTATTACCAGGGGACAGGTATTCTTCAACACTTCTTCCCTTTTAATAAGGGGTTTTAGAAATAGATCACCAGGAAGGCATGGAATTTTGCCTTCTGATACTGTGCTTTACCACACTACTGCTCTTTTGAATTTTAATTTGTTTTTACCCTATGAGTACATGATCAAATAAAAGAATCATAAAATTTATAAATTAATGATAATATTGCCATTGTTGCTCTTCCAAAGGGACCAGATCTACAATTTGAAATGGAAACTTAGTCCTTAAGACAGTAGCTTTCAATAGTCCAACTTCTGAGGGGCACATTAGTTGCTTAAAGCCGAAGACTGGGATGAGCTGACAACAGGAAGTTGCAGTGATTGAGCAAAAGGGAGTATGGGAAAGGCCTGTGTGGGTGGCCTGTCAGAGTGTTGATAGTTGATGTCTTCTCTTTGGAAAAGAATGGTTAACTCCAAATGCTAACATCCATATCTTTAGGAAGTAATAAAGCTTTGTCCTTACCAACAATTGATTCTTTATTGTGAATGCAGGTAGAGAGAATACTTTTCACAGAGAATTTTGGGAGAAAGTAGCGGGACACTTCTTTCTTCAAAAACGACATGACAGAGGTGACTGGAAGCACTTCTCACCTAGTTCAGAAGTTTGCCTTGGACTGTGATTTGCACATGTACTCACAAGTGGGAGCAGCACATAAATATTCAACACTAAGCAAGGGAAAGAGGGACAGAAAGTGACTTTGGGGCATGAGCCTTTAGAAAACTCAGTCAGGCAAGAGGCAACTTGGTTTAGTTGTCCTCATTAAACATTTATGCAGAATGTAGCGACTGCTTTTCTGAAGAGGACTGGAAGTGTTTTATTTTCTTGACATTCCTGCTTCCAGCAGTGGATTCCACAGGCTGGAGCGCCTTCTGGGAAGCCATTTTGCGAGAGGTGTTGAACTGTGGGTTTTAGAAGTGTCTGCTCCAGAGGATCACAGAAGGGTGGAAGGCAACCCTCAGAGTTTCTCTTTTCAATAGAGAGAATAAAGCAGTTCTTGTTTATCTTTGCTGTTGTTAGGAGGCGAACTGCTCCCAGGGTGACGTGAAGTGATTTCGTGGTTCAGACCAAGTCAGTGAACTGAAATGGGATTAGCAGATGATATTTTTGCTCCTTCTGCTTCTGAGATCTGAAATGCGTTTTGCTTTGAGGAAGGAAAAATTGAATTTCAACAGAAAAGCTACTGTGTAGAATATGAGCTCGGGAAAAGAAATTTTGAGTTAATTTTAACAGTCCTAGAAAAGTAACGCTGAACTTTCCACAGCCAACTTCCCTGAAGTTTGGCAGAAGGTAATGAGCCACTCAGCGAACAAAAAAGACCCCAGAATTCCAAACATAGAGAAGATTCCAGTTTGAAACGGCACTGCAGTCCTCGCTTGGCTGCTGAGACAGAGTCTCTTGTGGCTGGCTGGGTGACTGTTACCTCAGAACTCTGAGAACTCCACCAGCAGAGATCGGCCCAGGCTGGGCCAGAGTTTCAGCCATCTGCCTGGATGACTCTCCCAGGTGATTCTCATCACAGCCATCTTTGAAAGCTGATGAAGGAGAGGCAGAGAAAAAAATACCGGCAATGGCAGGTTACAGTTCTTTGCCTCAGCCTCCGTGGAGGCCTCCGTGGTTGTTTTTGGTTGATGATAGTGGAGGAGACTTCAGTCTCTTGGATAGAAAGCAACAGACTCAGTGGGCTATGCTGTAAAGGACAGAGGCATTTCACGTTTCTACACTTTAGCCCAAGGGCAGCCAATACCCCAAATTCTGGGATGGCTCTTACCCTTCAGGTCTTCCTGACTGCCCGAGTTTACAGGCTGCCTCTGCAGATTCAAATGAATGAGCGTGATGAATCACTGCTTTCACAACATAATTTGTGCAAAGCAACGCTCTGGATGTAGAAAGCTTTGCTCAAGAGATTTCTTTTTCATTTCGAATATTCTGGAGAATATTCTTCTCGTTGAAAGAAGAATTTTCTTCTCATTGAAGCTGAAATTTTAAGTACATAGTTTTTCACAAGTTTTTGTTTTTTTTCTACCACTTGATACAGTTTTTTTTAACTTTTAAAAATTTTATAGATGTGTACAATATATCTAGAGATCGTCTATGCTCTACTTCACCAGGCTTCTCTGAACAGGTAGTGATGTAGTTCAGTTGATGTGATAGCATTAGTGTGTGGATGTATGCCTCTGTAAGCATTTTCTTGTCTCTTCTCTGTTTCTAGGCTGCACACTGTAACCGCAGCCCGGAAGTCTTCTGCAGTGCTGGAGATCCATCAAGAGGTATGAAGACGGACACAGCATCACTCGTGGACACACTATTCACACGCTTGCCTTTTCACTGGTCTTAACATTCAGTCGTGGCTCCACTCTTGTCTTTATACTATATTTTTATATTTTGTATATTTCCCCTTTTTCTTGAAGCCAGGGTTTGTTGGGAAACTGCAAATGGAAACTAGGCTAGGACTTCCTGAGCACTAGGAAAGAAACCCCTGATACTCTCTCTTCTTTATGCCAAACCTATCCCATGCTAAATAGGATTTGCCTAAGATATTAAGAAAAAAAAGTGTTTACAAGTTTTATTCACTAGGGTATTGTTTTACTTACGCCACCATGACATCTTCTTTATCATTGTCATCATTAATCACCATCATCATCTTTTTCTTCATCATCATTTTTTTAGTGTAGGACTATGGATGCTGTTCCTGGGGTTCTCCTAGGCAGCAGATCACCGGGACAGTGTGGGGCCATGGTTACTTGGTAGGAACTAGATTCTGACAGTTCTTCTCTGCTGGCTGAGGGTCGAACTCTGTGCCGGGAATAATGGGAAGGAGTCCTCAAGGGAAATCAGCTTTGTCTGAAAACCCTGAACGGTTTCTTGTATCTCTGAATTTGAATACAACAATAATCCCTGCTGATAGCACTTTCATTCTCCTGGGTTTTCATTAGGTTCTTGCTAATTCTATGCCGTGAGTAGGGCATCAGTACCTAAGGAAGAGATTTAGTGTCAGTATTGTTTGAAAATGCTGTTTCTTGTCTTTACTTGCTCTTTGTGACCTTGGATCTTTTTTATTTTTGTTCATTGTATCTCCACAAGCACGCTTTTAAGCCCAAGAATGAATAAGAAGGAAGGATTCTAAAACCAAGTTGTGTTCTTTAAATCTAAGGTGAAGAATAAGACATGCAAATGCTGGGTCCAGATAGGCATTTCATCAGTGTCCATTGGATTTTCTCTCCTTGCCTAGGAAAGATCCAGACAGGTATCCTCCATGCTTCTGCATTCTGTCTACCTCCAAGCCTTCTATGAACATAGCCTTGTTCATTCACCATTCTTCTGATAACCACTAGGCAGAAAAACAAGAAGCGAGTGGCTTCTCCCTTGCACTGGTGATCTATTTACCCCTTGCTTATGAAGGTTTATAGAGTGCCAGCCATTCCCTCAAGGCTCAGTCTTTTGTGCATGATAACTTCAGCTTCTCTGTGTCTATTTTCCTTGAGGACTGCAGGAAGAATGCAGGAGGAATGCAGGAAGAATGCAGGAGGAATGGTGTTGGCTTAAGATAAGTGTTAAGTAGATGCAACAAAAAGAGCTGTGTGATTAAAGTAAAAGTAAGAATCTCTCTCTGGGACTCAGGGCTACTAAGTCAGGATTGAGCAAGGATCCAATTGTCATTAAAAGGGAGAGGCAAGCTCATAGGCAGATGTGTAACTATAGATACGTGAGAGCGAGGAACCCAGATGGAGTGGGCAATGTGTTTAGAGCCCAGACCCAGTCTGCCTGGGTTTGCACTCTAACCCTGTGCCTTCGGAGAAAGGAAACAATCGTTTCAAAGGGTCGGTGTGAGGCACAGATGAGAGAAGGAGAAGAAACCGTTCAGCACCCCATCTGTTAGTGAGCACACACTCCTAACACAAGGAGGCGTTTCTCTTACTGTGTTAGTGGTGCTCAGTGGAGAAGTGGTCAGAAACTGTTCTGCACAAGCCGAGTGGGAAGTCGTGATGTTTGTACTGTCCAGAACTACCAGTCTAGAGGTATTGCGGAAGGCGGATTACTTAGTGCGGATGGCGGGTCATGGTTGGACATTTTCCCATTTACTAGGGACTTTGTAAAGAAGTGAAAATTCATGAGATTCTGGATGAAGTGATGACAATGGCCATGGAAATGCAAACATAGCTCTCAAGTGTCTCAAGAAGTAGGGGTCCTTGGCAGTTGATGGCATGGTGCTGAAAGAGTTAAGACTGACTGTGGGAAATTTGCTTGCGGGGGTGGGGTGGGGTGGGGGGCGCTGGGTGGATAAAGAAAAAGTGCTGTTTTCAAAAGGTCTGCAAGGATTAAGGTCAAGGAGGTGTTCTGAGGAGGTGATTTTAGATGAGGGGGAGCGAGAGACTGCGGAGGTGAGTCCGCTCACGGTAATGTAACCTAACAGCGAAAGCTCTGCAGGAGTGTCCAGACATAGAGTGCATACTCTCACTTAGTAACTAACTAAACCGTGGAATTGAAAAAGCATGTCCCAAAAAGGGTGAGCATAGTGAGGAGGGAAACAGAGTTTAAATATTAGGAGCTTTGGGGAAAGAATCTAGCATTCATTTTTTTATACCAATATGAAATACATGATTCCAATCCTCTGTGCCCTGCATCCATAAGCTTCTGTGATACCCTGGGAGCTGGAAGGACCTAGAATTATTACAGTATTGGTTGAGAAAAAGAGGCGATCCTTGGGGTAGAATGCGTGAAGAAACGGGTTACTGAGGGTTGGCTGCATATGCCGGGCTCTCAGGGAAGGCTTCTTCAATTGGTGTTGCTTGTCCCAGGGCTCACAGTGGTTTAGGGAAACAAACTTTGTGCAGTTACCAAACGCTTCCTCAGTTTTCCGTTCCGGCTGCATTTTGGGCTGCTAGTGTGTGTGCCTGTGTGTTACTAACATCCAAATCTTTGAACAGACTGTTTGTGTTGTTTGAACTCTGAGTAACTGGCTCAGTGCCTGCCCTTTGAAGGGTACTTGGAAGTAAAATGATTGGAATCAAATGGGCAACTCTCAGGCTATGTTTTGAGGGAGACCTAGGGACATGGAGTAGAATGTTAAAAGGAGAATGTGAAATCCTAGATATCTGGTTTATCCATTATCTCTATTATTGCTAGTGTTATCATTAGTGATTCTTACTAAATATCCATGAGTGATTTTGATTTACCTCACACCTCCTTTGTGTCGGAACTAAAGGCCTGTGTCACCATGGCCAGCCAGTCCTAAATTGCCTTCTTTCTATGGGCAGCCATTTAAATGTACTTCATTACAAAAAAAAAAAAAAAAGGAATGGACAAATAAATCTATGCAAAGAGATTGAGAGCTTAAATGCCCTATGAACTTGAAAATTTGATTTTCAAAAATCATGGTAAATTCCAAAAAACATTTTAATGAGTTTCAGGGGAAAGCAGAAGGAATGTGTTTTATAGTAAAACTCTATTTAATCATTCAAATGCAGTTTTCTTAAGATTCAAACGTTAAACTTATTTGCAACTTGCTTGGTAACTACAATACTTGGTTCCATTTAATTTTTCCTTAAAAAGCATGCTCTTTGAAAATCTATAGCACTGCGAACCAGGTTATCAACAGCAATATTTCTGTGAAACCAGAGCAAATGAGGAGAAAAGACAGAGTCGAGGAGCATGAGGGAGGAAAGCCAGCAGCAAGTGCTGCTTCGTATCTGGAAGGGCTAGGAGGTGCCAGCATGATGGTAGGTCTTATACACTTCAGAATACCAGACGGCAGCCACTGAAGGTACATAGGAGAAGGCTAGTGTGTAGTACTCACCAGCTTTGGCTTTATAATTGTATTTATAGTGATCGTGTCAGGTCCCATTGTACAAAGGGTCATCCCTCTTTACTTTTGATTAACGTGTATTCAGCGTGAGTATGAATGGAGCTCAGTCTGATATGCTAATACATATACACAACCATCAGTGAAAAATCTTGCCTCTCTTCATCTATTTCCTCTCCCTCCCCTAGTTGTCACTATTCTACATTCAGGCCCACTTTTCTTTTAACTTTCAAACATGAAAGATTATCTAAATTGTTCAACTCAATGTAACATACTTCACTTAGAGCTAGTTTGCTGTAAGTGATATAATATTTTCTTTATGACTAATTAATATTTAATGTGCACAGTGTACCACTTCCAATACATTGTCTTTTTCCAGTCATCTGTCTACAAGTACCTAGGCTGTTTCCACATTAGGAAATTGTAAATAGTTTGCATGCTTCTTGTGAAAATGTGGCAAAAGGCAAGATCTTTAAAAGTTATAGGGAATTCAGTAAGAAAACACCATCAAAAGCATATTCTTAGTACAAACAGCCTAAAATCTCAAATCTAAGTGTATTACTCAGAGAAAACCCTTGCTCACCACTGTGGCTGTTGTGAACTTGAATATTTTGATTTTTAAAGATTGTACAACCTTCAACATGTATATACACAGGTCGTGTTAATGAGTGGAATACATTTTTGAGATTATTCTACTGAATAGGTTTGAATCTTAAGTGACTTTTCTCAGTTACATTAAGTATCTGTTCCTTATCTCCGGTCTCCGCTGAACATGTCTCAAGCACACCATGAGATTTGCAGTAGACAGATGTATATCACATAAGACATAATTTGAGAAAAATCACTCCACATTCTACAAGGATTTCATTGCTTCTCTTTTGGTTTCAACGTTGGCTGACTCTACCTAGGTAAATGTCACATCCACTCATTCCTTCTAGTCAGAACCTTTTATTACACATTTGCAATAACAGTGAACTAAATATTTTGGAAAATATAGAAGAAGGGGAGTGTGTGTTTTCAATCTCCTAGGAATTGTGTGTCGACATCAGAAAATATTGCCAACCAACTTTTTAGATTCATATAGCATCCACCCCCCTCTCTCTCTGTCCATATTATTTATATCTATGTCATCTACCAAATGGCCACAACTGTCCTGGTTGCTAGATGGGGCCCTCTGGATGCCATCAGAGTTTGATGTTTGAACTTCATGAGTGAGTTTTCTTCCCCAGGATATAATAAAATGAGCCTCACCACATGATCTTGGATCCTGTGACTTATATATTTTTTCCTTGAGAACAGAGATAGAGCATAAGAAACAGAGCATAGAAATTCAGATAGCACAGGTTGGGAATCAACCTTATGTCATACCAAACATACACCACCCACCAGATGTGTGGGCAAATGGCCTTAGTTCTCCAAGTCCTCAGTTGTCAAAAGTCTTATATCATATAATTTGCTTTAAATTCA